TAGTGTAGGGCATGATGGGGAAGGGCGCACGCGCCGAGCACGCCCTTTGCATTCTTCATTCATGCCTAAGTCAATTGTTTTAAGCAATCTCCCATTCCCATTCTTAAACTTTCCAAAGTGTGTTCTAATCATTATGTTTTATTCCATTTCATCCTTCCTTCTCTTCCCCTTTGACTTCATGCTTGGGTGCATCACTTACTCCTTTCTTAGTTAAATTCTCTCACAAAAATCTTTGTAGTATAATTAAAATCGAAATTTATCTAAACCATTTATATTCAAAATATTTTTAAAACACGATAAGTTAAAAATAAGAAAAATTATATTTTTCGTCCCTAAGTTATAGAATAATTGTAAGATTCGTAATTACTTGTTGATCGTGTTCACTTCTCGTCCCTAAGTTATTAATGACGTTGCAAATTTCGTCCTTAATGTTTTGTAGAAAAATGACGAAATTTGCAATATAATGTCAGTTATAGTTTATGGACGAGAAGTGAACACATCCAAAATGTATGGACGAACATAACAAATATTAATAATAAAAAAATATAAGAAATAATTGAGAGTTTAATAAATCACTTATAAATTAATAATTCATATGTCAAAAAATTCTAATGTGCAACAAGAATATTCAAAGTACAAAGCAACACGATGTATTAAAAAAAAAAAAAAAGAGAATTAAAATAAAGTTTAAAAAATAACTAATAAGGAATATATACGTATTGCATATATAGAGTAGGGCTCCGGTATGAGAACACTTGCTTAGGTGAGAACGTGAGAACAAATCATGTGCATCTATCAAATTTTTTTTAATTGTCTAAATTAGATTAAGACTCTGTTTGACAAAGCTTATTTAGGAGCTTAAGCTACTAAAAAGCTATAAGCTCTGTTTGGTAATGTTCCTAAAATAATAGCTTATTTTGGAACGCTATCTAAGGTAGCGTTTCAAAATAAGCTCCAAGTTTCTTAACTTTTTTTCCATCTTTATCCTTATTATTTTAAAGAAATGACATAATTTACCCTTTCAAATTAAAACCCTTTTCTCTTCTCCTTTATCCGCAACTTTTACCGCAATTATTATTATTATTATTATTATTATTATTATTATTATTATTATTATTATTATTATGAGATTTGCAACAATATTGCTACTTCATTATGAGATGCTAGATCATGATTATGCTAATAGTTTTATTTCAAAATGTTAATTTTTTTTTAAAAGACAAAATGACAAATTTTAATATGTAAACAAACTAGTTTAAATTTTATGAAAATGTCCTTTTTAGTCTTTTTACATTTATCAGCTTATCAAAAAGCTAATTTTACCAAACACTTTCAATCATAACAGCTCTTCAGTTTTCAGCTTCGAACTTATAGCTTTTCAGCTTTCAGTTCCTTTTCAGCTTTCAGCTCCTAGCTTATAGCTTTTCAGCTAAGTTTGCCAAACAGAACCTAAGTGTGTGTAAACATGAATTAAATGTGGGCAAACACACTTATTGTGTATATATAAAAAGTAGGAAAAAACATACCTAAAAATTTATTATTAAAGGCCGGGTTTGAGGTGTGATAATAAACAAAAGATTTCAATTTTTTTTTGTGTGACACAATTAAGGATGATGCAATGAATAAGTACTTAATTAGGAGATTTTTCAATATGCATGGGTGTATCAAACATGTGTCATTTCCAAATCTTTAATTGTGATGCATGTTTTGTCAAAAAACACTTTTTGAACCATTAAAAAACAAAATTGATCTAATCGTTTGTGTGTGTATATGGTTTATTTGAGGGAAATATTAAACTTTTATTTTATTCAATTCTACAATATATGCCAAACAAATACTGATTTTTTGTGTTTCAGTTGTGGGTTCGAGTTTTAGTAGATGTAATATTGACTTTTTATACTTTATTAAGTTGAGAAAATAATTATAATAAATAGATACTGCATTGTGACCGAGTCGGTAATACTAAAAAAAAATCTACAATATATTTGAGTGATGATGATTAAGGAGAATTAAGGGAGGTAAGCTACACTTTGTTTAACAAGTGGACAAGCCTACCGTACATATCAACATGCATGTTGGGCTGCTTTAATTTGTCTGTCTTTTCATGGTCACCACATATACACTGTACAATGTTGAACATTTTTTTTTTCCTTTTGAAATTTGGTAAGTAGTTAAATATGTTTTCAAGAAGAGAGTGCTACAAAAGCATGGGTCACATCAAAGTTACTATGCTATCAAAAATGTCGTTCGTGTGATGCTCAGAATGCCTCGTGCATGTATGTTCTTGTTCTTCAATTGCAATTGCTACTTCATCACTCTTTTTGGTTTTAATTCTAATTTTAATCAATTGTGTTATATATGCTACTGTTCTTGTGCATCATCCTGTTATATATGAGTTCGTATGGACAGATTTGAGCCATTGAATACTTAATATCAATGGTTTAGATTTAATTAACTGTGCACGGTAATTGTGCAACTGTGTACTTCACTTGCACAGTTCGTGTTGCACCGTTGACAAAATCTAAACAATTAATTTCAAGCATTTAAGGACACAGATCTGTCTATACGAACTCATATAACAAAATGGACACATTTGATCACTAGTGTATATATATATATGTGTGTGTGTGTGTGTGTGCTTGTGTGTGCGCGCGTGCACACATAGAGGCACCTTTTAATTTTGTCCTTAATTTTAATCTTAGTTGGATAAGTTGACAATTAAAAGTGAAATTTACTTGTGCATTAAAAGTTCCAAGTCAAACTCCAACCTTTTATGATGGACTGATGGTCACGAATATCCAGTGCCTATATTAAAACTCGAATCGTGCACTGTTGAACCGAAACTGGAACCGAACTGTTTGTACGATTTCGGTTTCGATTTCGGTTCCTAACCAAAATCAATATGGTTCTGATTAAGGTTCGAGATGAAAAGAAATCGAAACCGGCGATTCCAATTTCACACCAAAAAAAATTAAAAATTACAATATTTTTTTAAATAAATCCGATTTGAACCGGCGATTCCAACCGAAACAGCCGGTTCTAAACTAGAACCAGAACCTTACTATAAGGTTCCGGTTCCGATTTGTCCATTTACAAAACCGAAACCGACAATTCTGAACCGAAACTGATTTTTTTTAATCGAAACCGCGGTCACCCCTATTAGTGACCCTTCATAATCCTGTGGGGAAACCAAAATTGCAGCTTCTGAACAACTGTCGGACAAAATTCACCATTAAGAACAGTCTCACCACTTGCTTAATTACACAATATCAGACTGTGTTTCACCCTTTCTTTAGGTCCTCCCAGATTCCCCACAGCTTTTGTCGGCAAATTAAAAAGGTTATTTTACCTTTACTCCACTGCAATAATTTTTCTTATTTTAGTTCTTTGGCCACTAAAAGAAACAACTAGGCGTTTGATTGGAAAGAAGAAATTAGGGGAGAAAGGAATTATAATTCGGTACGAAAAGAATAATGTGAGAATAAAGTATGAATTTAAATTACGTTGTTTGGTAAGGAGAAATAGAAATATTAGAATTGAGAAGAAATAAGTGGTATAAAGACTAAAATACCCTTGTGTAATAATAATAATAATAGTAATAACAACCAAGGGTAGTAATATCATTTCATATGTTTTTCCTTTCTCAAATTCATTGAATTGCAATTTATATGTCCCTCTAACCAAACAATGTAATTGAGGCATCCACTGAATTGCAATTCAACTACAGCTAAATTACAGTGAACCAAACGTCATGTAAGTGTTAAAAAAAGTATAGTATTAACTATTAACCAACTTGATTGGCGTAAGTGACGGTGTACTCTTATCACTTAAGAAGTCGAGAGTTTGAACCCCTTCTTATAGAGAAAAATCAATCTAACCAGTACTTTGTCTCTTATTTGGGCCGGTCCGGTGTAAATGAGGATTAGCCTGAGTATGATATGGGCTTAAAGGTACCTCTTATAATTAGGACATAATCAAGACACATCTAGTATTACTCGAGTAAATATTTGTTCAATTAGAAAAAAAAAAAATACTTAAAGTATCTTAATGTTATTGTTTAGGGGTAACTATATTTTTGAAATATTCTAGAATATGCTTAAAAACATTATATTAGCCCACTCTTATTAACTTTGACATTTTCTAGGTTTCTTATGAACTAAAAGTGCACTTAGTCAATTCTCTTTTTTATATAAGTGATCTATCCCCAATAGGTTGGAGAGAATATTATACCATTTAACCCATTGTTTTAATCCTCCAATATCATGTTCATATCATACAAATTCCAACAACCAATTATCGTTAATCAAGTAAGGGAAATTAAGTTTCAAAACATCCATATTAGTTATTCCCTCTAAATCAAAAAAAAAAATATTAGTTATTCCCTCTTTATATATGGAGTTATTTGCTGAAATTAAGTTTCAAAACATTAAAGTATTAAACAAAACATAAATAAAATTAGTATACAGTACTAGCAATTATCACAGTAAATAAAATTAGTATACATAGGCGTATGAATATGCACTGCACATTCACTTTCTACATACATTAAATTTATAATTTGGTGTATTTTTAATTCTAAGTAATCTCTTGCTTCATTTTTGCTTCTCAGATTTCTCAATTAGGACATGTAAGTATTTAGTAAGAATTTTATGATAAGAGTATGTGGTGCATATATGAAGATCCAATGGAGAGAATTTGAAAAAAAAAAAAAAATCAAAATCAAAATTACGAATATGTCGTTTAATAATTTAAAAATCTAAAACAAATTGTTAATGTTTACAAAATCTATACATCTTGGATTAAAATTGTCATATTACACATTAAAGAAAAAAGTTTGTATAAAGTAATAATTCATGAACTGAGTCTATAATATGTTATGTGTATAATTAATGGACTAAAATCATTATTTTTCCTTAATAATTGTGTATATGCTGCGATTTCAAGGGTTTTTTTTCAGTACTGAAATAAATAAACTATGACATAGCCAAATCACTCACTTAACAAAACCTTCTCCAATTAGCATTTTCATAAAATCATCAATTAAAAGATAGAATCAGTACAAGGTATTCCTTTAAAATTCTTATGGAACTGCCAGTAATTAAACTAAGCTCATTACCCTATTAAAATTTTTCAATACTATATATATGTATCCAAAAGGCTTCAAAGCCCCATTTTTGTGATCCCAAGCTCCAAAGCTATGGCATTAAAAGCAATTGCAGATTCAGCATATAAAACCATACCCATACTTTAGCTCATCCACAAAACAACCTGAGCATACCCCAAAGAGATAGCGACTGAATAAATATACTCAAGCCTCCTTTCGTGTTATCCTGCCATTCAAAGAGGATGCATTAGCAAAATCTTAGTTTAACACACATCCGGGGATGAATTTCATGAGACTGGAAATTCTTCAAGTGCACTGTTCCGATAAAGTAGGCAACTGCACAACATTATTTCTCAAAACAAGCCAAAATTGGGATATAACAGTCAAATGGTTAAATCTGTTTTAGGACAATTCCGGGAGACAAGGAAACAAATGTGAATGGGAAATTACAGGGCGTTTGGTTGGAGGAAATTTAAATTCCATTCTCACCTAATTCCCACCTTATTCCTTAGTTTGGTTGGAAGGAATTGCAATTCCCTTATTTTCATGGAATTAAAATCCCATGCCCCCCCTTGGGATTTTAATTCCATGGATCTTGGGAAGAAAAAAAGATAATGATGAGACAAAATTACCCTCATCCTTTTTAACCTAAAATTATTGTCTGACAACAATGGGCATTTTGGACTTTATACTACTTATTCCCTTTCAATTCTCATGTATACCAAACATTGGAATTGAAATTCCCAGTAATTTTATTCTTGTAAACCAAACACTGGAATTTAAATTCCCACTTCATTCCCAGTAATTCATCTCCCATGGAATTGCAATTCCTTTCCCACGTAATTCCCTCCTTCCAACCAAACGCCCCGTTAAGGTTGATATGTCTAAACATTATATTATGCATAGAAGCACATGCATGGAGCAACCAATAATAATACTAATAATAATAAAATAGAGAAAATTTCAATTTTGGTCATCTGACTATAGGGGCTTTATTAATTTCAGCACTTGACTTTCAAAAGTATCAATTTAGTACCTTGACTATGCAATTTTTATCAATTTTGGTCATTCTGGTCAAATTGTCGGACAAATTTCGTCAGAAAATTTTAACAGTTAAAAGATGAATTCGTCGAAAAAGATGAATTCACCGAAAAAATACCCTCATTATTTTAACTGTTAAAATTTTTCGGCGAAATTTGACTGACAATTTGACCAGAGTGACCAAAATTGATAAAAATTGCATAGTCAAGGTACTAAATTGACACTTTTGAAAGTCAGGTGTTGAAATTAACAAAACCCCTATAGTCATATGACCAAAATTGAAATTTTCTCTAATAAAATACTCCAAAGAAAAAAAGGAGAACGAATCAAGAAGCATGCAGCACAGAATGAAAATACAATTGTTTCAAAATTTCATCAAAAACCAATAGCTCTAACGAAAACTAACAAATGTTAAATTACCAAATTTTTATTAGTTAAAGAAAGAACTAATCAAATTCACTTACCTGAAACATGAAATTCCCAGTGCTGCTGTTATCTCATGAATGACTGATGTTGCAAAATGCAAATAGAGTGACACTGAAAAACATAGAACACAATGGTGTTCGTCCACAATGTCAGGAGACAGAATAATCGTTGACACATAAATGCAAGCAGGACCAAAAGGGAAAAAAACAAAATCTAGGTGTTAGAAGTATTAGTTGGATAATATAAGTCAAATAATAAACATTAAGCCCTCAGTAATTGCAACCTTAAAATTGTACTTCAATTGTCTATTTGTTCAAAGTGTTGTTAAAGTACAATAGGAATAAATTACAGCAAACAAGAAAGCAGAGTCTACCCATGTGAAAAAGATCACGAGCACGTAAGAGAATGAAGTACCTGAGTACACACAAAATCCAAGGAGAATCCAGAACTCATCAACTAAAGGAATACTGCCAGAAATAAAAACACAAACACATTACAATAAAAGGAGTACAGGATACTCAAAAATGAATAAAATTGATATTCAAGAAGCAGGATTTGGGTTCCACTTACCCATCATTAAGTCTAGCAGTGAGTGCATTAGCTATGGCAAAAGGCAGATATAGCAAAGACTGCAACAGGAAAACGGTTCTTAAGGTTTAAGTATAAATAAGAAACTATAATACAGAAATTTCAGTGAAGAAAATTAACTCTTTTTCATTCAGTCATCAATATGCAGATGAAACAACATTTTATCCAGATAGTCAGATAGATTCAGCCTGAGCAATTAAAGCTAACAATAGTAAAATTCAATTGAACTCAGAAAAGTAATACTCAATGTCCATACCATATTGATACCAAGAATATCAATAATGAATACATTGTGGAGAATATTAAAAATGATTGGTCAGCATAAAAACAGAAATTGTCTGCTTCAAATCAGTATATATTCAGAATTATCTTTAGGTTCACAAGTCAAGTTCAGTTGCAACATGATTTACAGTAGTTCATTAACCAGAAAAGTAAAGTTACCATGCACATGCTAGTTTTCAGGCCCTTGGGTTCATCACACAAGTGAGACAGAATCATCCTTCCCTGCAGAACAATCCTCTTCAGAAACACATAATGCAGAGTACAACAAAGCATGGCATTCAATAGATACAGGAAGTAGCATAGAAAATGTATGAATCACGATAATGGGGTCTGAGTCAATCTTTACTATTTGTTGATAAAAGATCTCATTAATAGACAATTTTTTCAGTTGCCTCTTAATTCACATAAAACAAAACAATTTCAGTTCATAAAACCACAATATTCAAGCAACGAACCAAGAGCATGAACCAAAAAATTACCACAAGAAATCCAAATGCAAGCCCAGTTCCCACAATGAACAAATGTGGATAGTTCCCCATCAAACCATATGGAGAAATATATTCCCTGCATAACAGCTAAAAATAAATATTGAAGCAAAATCCTTCAAAAATTTAGTGAGTAAAGGCAATCAAAAGGCAAAAAGACTACCAGAGAAGTACTCCTCCCAACAGCACAACAAATGGATAAAGCTGTCAAAGTCATTGGAGCAATACATCTGTCAATGGCTGGAAGATATACAAAAGGGGGAGGGAAAAAATATTGTTCTTCAGTGATTTATTTACACGCATACCATGGCTAGTGCTAGTAGCATACTTCCCTTTTTGGCATTGACAACCTTGTACACATTTTGCACACTGAAAATTATAGAACCAACTTAAAGTAGCATTCATACTGGCCAATATGTAATACTACATAAAACTAACATATCAGCTTAAAATATGAACTATTTCAAATGCTTAAAACTGTTAAAGTAATGTAAGAATCAATTATTGATGGACAACTAAAATTATCCTTGCGCCATTAGAAGCACTTACTTGAATGATACTGTCGGTATAACACCGAAGACTATCATTAGAAACAGCACAGATCTAACTGTTGAGATTTCTGAAATGTAAAAATAAACAAAAAGATAAAGCAGCCCATCTATTTCAAAGCATTTATATGGTATATCCTACAGAATATGATATACAAAACAACAAAGTTCCTACAGAGTATGGAGTACAAGAATATGACAGAATGAGAGAAAAATAATACAAAAGGGAAACTGAAGTCAACAAGAAATATGAACCGCTAAGAAGGATGAACACAATATACAAATTACCATTTTCTTTAATACACTAAATGCTAGAATTTACTTTCAAACTCAAATCATTCAAGATATGCATATCTCACCATTTATAAATGGAACCCAACTAAAAACTGGCATGGACTTCCCAAACGGTTGAGCCCACCACTCGGCACCTGAAGGAAGTCTCAAGCTAATTAAATGGCAGAACTAGATGAGAACATGGGAAACAAATGCCAAACTACTGAGGTAGGAGGGTTTGATGGAGGAAAGTGAAAATACCAACTAAAGCAGTAAAGAAATGGGCAAAATATATCAGCATGAGACCCTCTGTAGGACCATTTATTGCTGGAAGAATTAGAGTGTTGGTGAAATAACTGCAAGAAGAAGGATTTAGTGTCTTCTTAACTGGGCAGAATTTAATGTTCTAGTATTCAGAGCAATATATACTGGTAATTTTATACTCAGTCCATATTTATGAAAATAATAAAAACAAAATAAAAATACACATATCCACATGCATACAGGAAAATTAAAGATACCAACAGAGGCCTCTGGAAAATTCTAATTTACAATTAGCCATAGCCAATCAGTAAACTTCGATAAAAAGGCAACAGTAATGTAAGAGAAAATTTCAATTTTGGTCATCTGACTATAAGGGCTTTGTTAATTTCAGCACTTGACTTTCAAAAGTATCAATTTAGTACCTTGACTATGCAATTTTTATCAATTCTGGTCACTCTGGTCAAATTGCCGGCCAAATTTCGCCGGAAAATTTTAATAGTTAAAAGATGAATTCGTCGAAAAAGATGAATTCACTAGAAAAAATACCCTCATTATTTTAACTGTTCAAATTTTCCGGCGAAATTTAGCCGGCAATTTGACCAGAGTGACCAAAATTGATAAAAAATGCATAGTCAAGGTACTAAATTGACACTTTTAAAAGTCAGGTGCTGAAATTAATAAAGCCCCTATAGTCATATGACCAAAATTGAAATTTTCTCAGTAATGTAATATTGTAACAAATCAAATATCAATTGAAACTCACTGTTCCCAGGTTGCACAGTAGAATGTAACAGCTGATATAAACCAGAACCAGAAAGTAGCAGGTCCACACATAGCAGTGCTGCCAAAGGCCAATGCTTCAAACTGACGAACACAAGAATATAGACTCTATAAGGCATCACATTCACCATGGAAACCATATGAAAAGTAGAAAACCATACATACCGTACATGCAAGTGCATCACATCCTGGATAGTTTGTGGAAGTAATGTCATTTATCAAAAGTGTAGTAGTCAGCACTCAAATAGTAACACAGGAAGTACACAGGAAGTACACAGAAAATAAATTTTTTTTTAAATGAATAAAATGATGATGCAGAAAATAGTGAAAGAGTATTACCATGATCAAAAAGCTCCCCTAATGGACTGGAAGAATTTGTTCGTCTAGCTTGTTTTCCATCTACAGCATCAAATGTCTGATGTGCATTTTAGTAGATTAGTAGAGTCAGAACTAGCATTTGATAAATAGGGAGGAAACTGTCTATTATTTAAAAGAACCACAATGGATAATCATGAACATGTATATATATGTTTCCATGTGAATTGTACACAGAAAATAAGTGAACCTGGTAAAGGAAGAGAAGCAAGCCATGTGCAAAATGAACCCATCTTGGAGGTGGCGAATCCAATTGAGGGGAATATATCTGGGACAAAGAACTCATAAGTTGCAAAAATAGAAAAGTAATAAAGAAATGTTTTGTTTCTAGGAAAAACATAAAATAAACTGTTTAATAGAAAAATTCCAAAAGTATATATTATTAAAATTCTATAATTCTAGCCTAGAAAACAGAGTCATAAATATATGATTGTAATTACTAGCAAAAGTAAGGAATAACTTGCTGAACCCTATGGTAGTTCCATATCTAATCCAAACCATAAAATAACGTATTCTGGACAAATGTCATTAGATTATAATGTGCATAGGAAGTACTGATTACCAAGTTTAAACCAGTGCAATACTACGATCCAAATAATGTCACAATACAAAACAATAGATTATGTATCCTACTGATGAATCAAGTATATAACACTGTAACCATGATATTGTAGTTCAATATTCAAAATAGTTTAAGACTAATATTACTCCACACACAGCAAGGGTCTGCCACAATGTGTTACTATGAGTATCCCTGTCAATAAGCCTCACCTACCTTGACTATACAGTTTTCACCCATCCATAAAAAAACAAACAATACATGAGACATTAAAATTCAAAGGACTTATGTGTTAGCCACTTCGTCCTATAAAAGTGACTTTGAACACCTGATACTCTGACCAAGAAGATATAGCCAAAATGCAGAAGACCAAAAAACACAACAATACCAGCTTACCAACAATAGCAAACAACACTAATAAATAAAGCAGATACTATATAGCTAGGGGAGAATATGTGATGTATGATTGTATGCATATTGTATATGTAGAGTATGTAGAGGGAGGTTTTATTTATTATTTTTTTTTCTTTTGCCAAGGGGGTAGTACAGGGAGAGACAGAAGAAGTGAGGGAGAGAGTCCAACTTACATATCCAAGGAAAGCAGATGTGACCAAAAACATAAATCCAGTAAGGGTAATCTGAAAAAAAAAAAAAAAAAAAAAAAAAAAAAAAAAAAAAAGGTTAATGCATCAGGTAACAATCCGCATTTATGTTGATCCAAGACAAGATTGATTATAGAGTATATTTACCATATTTGGCCTAGTTAACGTATCCAGCACATGCACAATAGATAAAAGAACAATTAGCTAACAATTTTGAGAAAAATGGCGAGAATTAGCATAAAACATCTTACAGAATTTATTAAAAGTAAATGGATATACAGTTAAAACCATTTCATATGCAAAACTTTGTATTGATTACAGTGAATACAAGTTATTCTCAAATTAGCTAATCCACTATATTTACTTTCACGGGAATTCCACACAATTAGATTCTGTTACTTCAATTCAATAATCTTCAACTAAATGCTAAGATACTCCAAGTCTACAGAACCATATACTGTCAGTTCTGAAGCAATCAAATCCATAGTTCCACTAAAAAAATAATAATAATAATAAAATAAAAAATTTTAAAAAAAAAAAAAAAAAAAAAAAAAAAAAAACAGAATTGTATGTCTAAAATGGAAAAGCAACATTACAATTTTAAAAATAAAAATAGAAACAAATATATGCTTACGGCATCCAAAGAGGGAAGAAATTAACACAGCGACTCCAGAAGGGCTGCAACACATATTTGGCTAAATAAGAGTGATCTACTCCGCTGTACTTGTATCTATGCAGCGCCGCTATTCCATGCGCCCCTATGTACCCCATCCTTTCCCTCTCGCACCTAAAAATCAATCCTACAAAAAAACTAAGGAAAATGTCAACACTTCAATCAATATTCCAAACAAAAAGAGACTAGGCATAAAACGATGCTCCTTAATTCTTTCTGAAATCAAACAGCGAGGAATCAGAAAACGGTTGCGAATATACGTACAGAATTACAGATATGAATATACATCAATTTTTACCTGTGGCCAATTCAGGAAATGAAAGAGAAAGGGGAAGAAGGAGTTTTGCAGTTTTGCGTGTGTTAAGAAGAGGAAGATGAAGACGTATTCGCTCCCGCCCGATGACTCGGTGAGGCTTCTCGACCCGTATATTTGCTCGCCGACCGTATATGCCTTTTTTTTTACAATTATTTTTAAAATAAAATGTAAATGATGTGACTGATATCAACGGTCTATCGAAATTTATCAATGATTAAGAACTCTGGTGAAAATGCATGAGGATTAATTTTATAATTACTGAAAATTTTTAAAAGTCGAGATTCATTTTATAATTATTACATTATAAAATCTTAGCATTTAATTTCTCAAAATGAAAAGTGCAGATATATTTACACTTTTTACCAGGGAAGATGTCTCACACACACACACACATATACATATTCCGCTTGAACATTAATTTCTACGCAATGTTCATTTTCTAACTAGTTTTTTTTTTGAAGCACTCGATTCTTTACAATGTAGTATCTGTTATATACTTTTCTAATATTTTTCAATCAATATCCCCACCACCAAAGTTTGATCTTGTGACGACCCATTTAGAAAGGTATGGCAATAATGGAGTCATAACACTTCATAGTAGTTGACAATTAATTGTTTAATACAACGGTAAGAAAATTTATAGGATTAATGCGTTTACTTTTTACATAAATTATAGGATCATTGTATTTACTTTTTACATAAATTATTGGTTTTTTACCAAATCATTGAATCATGGTTTACCTTAAAATGGCTACAAACATTGTGCCATAAACTATGATTTACCTTATAGACTATTGACATAAAGTGTATATATATATATATATATATATATACTTGAAACACGTGATTTTTTTTTCAATTTTTTCAGCCAAAAAAATCAATGTTCAAATGCTGAATGTCATTCAATTTTCAGAACAAGCAAGAACTAATATTCTTAAATTGATAAAGAGAGAACAAAGTAGTTCTGTTTGAGAACTATAAGAGCATCCACAATGGTTGGGAAGAATAGGGGATAATGTAAGAGTGATTAGGAGAGAGAATGTGGGAAGGGGAGGAAAAAAAAAATCAAAATCAAAAATTAAAAAACAAAAAAAACTTTAAAAAAAAAAAAAAAAAAAAAAAGAGTCAGGCGCGCCGTTCGGCGCGCTTGACGCGCCCGTGTAGGCGGGCTGCTGTGCGCGAAACGCACACAGCAGCCTCCTTTTTCTTCTTTTTCTGCATTCTCCTTGAATTTGCAGGAGAAATATTTCAACCAATAACTCCACTCCACACTTGTTATTATCCCCACCCGAGATAATTCATCTGACATTATCTCCATAATATCCACTGATGTAGATGCTCTAACTATTACATTCAACTAGAAAGACAAGCACTAAACTACAAAATGATTTAGAACCACAATATACACCCGTCAAAATCCAGTATTCTCAAAACCGGAAGCCCTAGGGTAACCCTCATACTCCAACTTCACGTTCAGTGTGGCACAGATAGCTCGGAACTTCATCCTCAAAGACTCCATGATATCAGTAACACACTCGTTTTCCGGGGTGGATATAGGGTACTTCCGCACCAATTCATCCATCTGCACCATGTTTTTCTGCACTCGAGGCGAGAAACAAGTAGGATCAAGGCGACTCGCAGAGATCCAGGCGTCGATACAGCCTCTGTAGAACCCCAATTCAAATCCGACTTCAAACCCGGTTTTGAGGCCCACCTCACGGCCTCCCTCTATGCCGGAGGCTAGACCGTCGGCGTAACCATCAGAGTATCCTTGCTTGTAATGCGTGTCCTCTAGATTCAGAGATGAGTCGAAGATATCTTCTTCCATTGTGAAGAGAGACAAGCTATATGAAGAAAAAGACAACAAAGAAAACACAAACTTAGAATTGTATGGATGTAGCCATAATTTTTGTTGCCTCAGGTTTTCCATCCTTGATAACCTAACCCTTAGAATTGTATGGATGTAGCCTTAATTTTTGTTGCCTCAGGTTTTCCATCCTTGATAACCTAACCCTTAGAATTGTATGGATGTAGCCTTAATTTTTGTTGCCTCAGGTTTTCCATCCTTGATAACCTAACCAAGTTCTTGCTCAAGATAATGGAATATCTGGTTTTCCATCCTTGATAACCTAACCAAGTTCTTGCTCAAGATAATGGAATATCTTTTTTTTTTTTGAATGTTAGTGACTCTATTACATACTTTCTCAACCTAATGAAACACACAGAGTCAACAACGCCTCCACTGAGGCTCGATCTCATAACCTCCCAAATGGAAGAGGTCACTACATGCCATCTGAGCACAAGGTGTTTGGCAGATAATGGAATATCTAAAAAAACATTATTGAAAATCAAAAGTAATTATGTTTCCTTTTCTAATGATGGTTTAAAATAGTATGACACTCATCATCTGGCCACACATACATATAAAGTAACTTTTTGATTCAAGAATAGAGGTTAGAATTTATAGAGGACAAGTACACAAGCATAAAATGATCACTTTGTGAACAGGAATACATTTAACATTTTAGATATTAACAAATAAGAATCATAGTTTAGATGTTACATAAAATTTCACAAACAATATCTGAAGCTTAGTGTTAATATAAATTTTAATGGTGCAATTTAAAGGATCCACAATCATAAGAAGGAGGAAGGCAATATCAAATATTCTACCACAATTACAAGAAGCAAGAAGATTAAATTTAAAAAAAAACAAAAAAAAATCTAAACAGAGACCATACAGAAGCATAGGTACACTCTGCAGTCTGCTATACATATGAATATATGATGATATAACTCATATAAGTCATAATCAAATTATACAAGTATAATAACTTCTCTGGTTGGAGAGCAACATAGTGGCACCAAATGGGGGTAAACTCAATTTCCTTTTTGCAAAAAAAACAACTAACCATACTGTGTATGTCTGAACTCTGAATCTTTGAGGTAGGCCAAACAATTACCTCTTCCAGCAATCCTGGAGAGATATATATTTCTAAAGCTGAGGAGATTGTGAGGCCAGGGGTAAGGAGCAGTACTCTATTTGTTAACAAATGGAAATGTCTTTGCGCTCAAAAGGTTCCATCATATTCCATCTTGGAGATGAAGGCATACAATTTCTTCATGCGCAGTAAAGCGAATCCTACAATATTTATTTATTACTCATTCATCTAATCTTAATCATGGATGGTTTGGCACAAGCTTAAACAAAACTCCAACACCTATTCTAGCCTCATTGGTCTGATTTGGTCGCTGGTCGAGTACAGGTAATAGAGATTATATTATCTCAGAGAATGTGACATAAACCCTAAGTTTTCAAGCAAGGGTGTGATAGAGAAGAGCTGCGAGGGATAGAGATTACCTCAGAGAAGGGAGAGCTGCGAGGAGAGCTACGAGGAGAGCATCTGGTTGCGAGGAGAGAACTGCGCAGAAGATCTAACAAGGGCAAATGAGAAGGGCAAATAATTTTTTTTTAATTATTTTATTTAAAATTATTTATAATAAATAATATTTTAAATTTTTAATAAATAAAAACATTTGTTTTAAAAAATAAAATAAGGAGGACACGTTTCAACACCGTATCGATTTAACCTGATAAACAAGTTAAATTGGACTTAATTGAACAAATTTACTGTTTAGGGAACTTGAATGGAGCTTTTTGCACTTAGAGGACTCAATTGCACTATCCAATCGACATAGGGAGACAATTTGACACTTTTTCCTTAATTTTATTATGGAATAAGGTTCAAATTGGCCACTGAACGTAACCTGAAAATGCAATTAGGCCACTGAACACTCCAAAAATGTGCAATTTCACCTGATAGCAGGTTACCTTCAATTTTAGCAGGTTATCTGCTTACGTGGCAGCTGAGTTGGCATTTTTAATAAATTTTAATAATAACTTTTTATTAAATTTTTTTTTTTAAAAAATAAAAACGACTTTATTTTATTTTTTATTTAATTTTTTTCAATTTTTTATAAAATTTATTATTAAAATTAATTATTAAAAAATTATTTAAAAATTATTAAAAATGCAAACTAAACTGCCACGTAAGCAGGTAACCTGCTAAAATTGATGGTAACCTGCTATCCGGTAAAATTGCATACGTTTGGAGAGTTCAGTGGCCTAATTACACATTTTTTGAGTGTTCAATGGCCTAATTGCACTTTTTTTTTTTTCGTTCAGTGGCCTAATTGCATTTTCAGGTTACATTCAGTGGCCAATTTGAACCTTATTCCTTTTATTATTAATTGCATACACTTAGGACAAATGAAAAGTGTTTAAAAGAATATATCACCTAGTAATAAGAGGTTTCTAACTTTGATTGTGTTATGCCTTTGTTGCAATCATGGTCCAGATAAGTTGTGTGGACCATATTTTGTCTACTGTAAATAATGTACACTCAGTACAAAAATAATGTACATTTAGTATATTAAAAATGTACTTTTTGTTATGAACCATGATCCAAACAATAATTTGCCTTGATGTTGCCTTATTCTTATGTAACTTGATTTGATTGTTAAATTGGTTTAGTGATGGTAAATTATTCTTACTTGATTTTTCATTCTTCTAAAAGGTTGCCCCAACCCTAAGGGCTACTTGATTTTTCATACATATACATTTGTTTGATCACCTAGAATTACATTAATTATAATTAATAGATATAATCACTTAGGATAAATCTGCACCAAATTTTTATAACCTAATTTACTGAATAACTAATCATAAATTATGTGAATTTATCCCATGCAAGTTTAGTTATTATGAATTGTGTTAATTTCTTAATAGACCGTATTGGTTTTTTAATATCGTCATGCTCGTAGGTTTATGAATCATTTAGCTTGTGTGCATTTATCCCATGCAAGTTTAGTTATTATGAATTGTGTTAATTTCTTAATAGACCGTATTGGTTTTTTAATATCGTCATGCTCGTAGGTTTATGAATCATTTAGCTTGTGTGCTAGTTAGAGCTATTGGTTCTCAACTTGGTCCAGGGACTTAGTTTTTGACCCATCCTATTTGTATTTCTGAATTATTCATTCCAATTTAATAAATTAAACTTCCTTTTTGCTATCAAAAAACAAAAAATCATAAATTTTTTAGTGTTAAACACTTAAACTAAACTAATCGCAAAAAGAGTTAAGTTCATAATGTAATTTCGTAGTAAACTATACCTTTTTTTGAATAGTATAACTAAGTCCAAATCTTTTTTGCGAAAATATTTTTTGAAAGTCATTTTTCGAGTTTGTAAACGCACCCCAAGTCTAAATCTTATGTCATATATTCTCATTGAACACTTTAAAAAAAATAGAGGAAAATACTCTTTTTAGTAAATTCCCTAATTATATATGTAATTAGTCATTTTGGTTTCACATTTTTAGAGATCACAACTATCGATTCTAACTTTGGAAAAATGTTGCAGTTTTGATCATCAATGGATGGAATCTTTTAATACTTTAAGCTTTTGCATTCTATATAAGTATTTGAGTATTTTCATTTTTTTTTTTTCTTTTGGGTAGACATGTTTCAAAGAGTTATTTTTTATGGACTAAAATTATAATATTTTTGTAAATTGAGTGTGACACCTGTAACTTTTGAAAATACAGGATTAAAATGAGGAGTTAATTTCAGCAATGGTCTTCCGACTATATCGATTTTTCACAATTGGTCCCCGACTTTTAATTTGGACAATTTAGGTCCCTTGACTTTTGAATTCTTTCCGATGTTGGTCCTTCCATTAAATGAAGGTTAAGTGGATGTTAAATGAAGGGGCAAAGTAATCTTTTTGGTGTTTTTAATTTAAATGCACGGGAAGAATAAAAACCATGTGTAGTTTTAAAACTGAATGCAATCCCACTTCTGCCAACTATTATGTGTCTTCCCTCCATTTTAAAACTGAATGCAATCCCTGGTCGCCTTTTCTCATAACCTCACTCTTTTCTGGATAAGCTGGTATGTCTCTCATATATGTATGTATTTACATATGTATGTGTATGTGTGTATGTATATCACTGCATTCTTTGAGACACTAAAGTTACGTTGCAGTTCTTTTACACACAACACACCCGTTTTTACCTCTAAAACTACAAATGGACAATGTGATATGAAGATATATAGAAGTTAGAAACTATAAGAGAAAACAATGTATCCATCTGCGTAAGTTTCTGTGTTAGAGTGAGTTTTATTGGAGGTGCTTGTGTACAATCTGATAGTAATTTGCAATGTTAAAAAATGTATATATTTGATCTAAATTCTTAATGTTTTATGTGGTGACTTACATGACACTGTATTGTATGTTTATTGAGAATTAGATTCACACTCTGTATTTATGGAACTTTCTCGCTTCATTGGTGGTGGAACCCCTGATCTCAACTTGGCCAATTTTCTTCACATGATCACAACCATGGCAGAATCAGGTTCAACTGAGGAGCAGATTGAATTCTTCATTATAAATAGCCAGAAAATGTCGAGACTTCCTGAAGGAGAAATTGTTTGGTCCCTTTCAGATAGCGCGTTTTCAATGGAAAATGAGGAGGCAGTGATGACTAGCTTTGAACCCGGAGCAACTAATGAACCAAATCTAGTCAAATTCAAGAAGAAACCAAGGATAAATTCTAATTGGCCACCTGCAGACTGGAAAACTGCAACTGGCTTTCATTCTCCTCGTGCATTTAAATTAAAAACACCGAAAAGACTACTTTACCCCTTCATTTAACATCCACTTAACCTTCATTTAACAGAAGGACCAACATTGAAAAGAATTCGAAAGTCAATGGACCTAAATTGTCCAAATTAAAAGTCGAGAATTAATTGTGGAAAATCAATATAGTCGGAGGACGTTTGCTGGAATTATTGACTAATAATGACATATAATCAGAATAAAAAAATTGTGATTTTATTGATCTCTTTATAAATTAATCAAACAAAATTATATTATATTATATTACATTGAATTGAACCCAACAGGGTAGCTCAAGTGGCAAATGAGCTCTCTTTGTGGGGAAGAATTTTGGGATAACCCGGGTTTGATTCCTACAAGTGATGATTTCCTTTGGGCCAGCTTCTGTGCCTCTCGGAGCGAATCGAGTGAACCTGGACTGTTAAACGGACAGAGAAAAAATATTTATATTGAACCAGATTTTGTGTAAAAGATTAGATATTGGCCCATCATACAGTGAGCATCTTACTCAGAAGAATGACCACTCAAAATCTCCAAAGGCCACTTATCTTCACCCATCAATGCAATCAATCTTACTTTTTGTCTTCCTTTCAAATGCCTTCATTGTTAATATTATCATTATTCTTTTCTCTTTTGTTTTTTTTTTTTTTTTCAAAAGGAAATGTCCCCATATGATAGGCCAGGGGCTTCTTTAATCTTTATAAACTATTCCAAAGATATGATTATGGATTTATAAATGGTTCCCCTAATGAGGGATATTTTGAGCAAATATCATTTTCTATAGCAACGCAGGAACCTAGGAAATGTTTTGGTTCCTCAATGATTATGACACCGTAACCCAGTAGGGTAGCTTAAGTGGCAAATGAGCTCTCTTTGTGAGGGAGAATTTCGGGATAACTCGGGTTCAATTCCTACAAGTGATGATTCTCTTTGGGCCAGTTTCTGTGCCTCTTGGAGCTAACTGGGTGGACTTGTTCCGTTAAACGGACAGAGAAAGACCCAGATCAAAAAAAAAATGATAATTATGACACCGTCAAATTTAAATTTCAGATAAGACAATTTTTTTTATGATGTCATATGCAATGACCATTAATAAGGGCCGAAGACAAATATTATCACATGTTGAATTGTTACTGAAGAAACCATTTTTTTGTACATGGTCAATTATACGTTGCAGCTTCTCGAATTAGCTAGCAATCCAAAACGATTAAAAATATTAATATGTAGTCACTCGGATAGAGTTAGTACTTCAACTACTAACTTGTTTAGTAAGAAGTTTTTAATAATTTGTAATTTATATTATTTTTTTTAATCTAAATTCTCGAATAAACTATATAATAACCTCTAAAATTAAATTAGGTCTTTCAAAATAAACTTAAAATAATATACAAATGTTTCTTATTATCATAACATAACAATAATCTTTACAATATTTAGTCCATGCAACGCACATATATCATACTAATTAATCATTAAGGAACTCAAGATGTAAATAAGAGTGAAACCTTTCTTTCAATGAATTTCTTCACCCTCTAAACCTATATATTTTATAGAATTTATGTTTGGACTTAAATAGTTCTGAATTACTAATTTATTGATTAAAGAGTAATTTCAAAGGTTTTTTTATTTTTTTTATTTTTTTTATTTTTTTTTGGGTACATTTGATTGCAAAATGAAACAAAATTGTAGTCAAAGTGCGAAATTAGACACCACCATTATTTTGTGGCAAATTATTTTGTGGACCGGATCCACTTGCAAGGTGGACCCGAGTCCAAATGTTCACAATTTGTATACTGCGAACACACAATGTTAATATATATGTAATTGATTACCTTGTTCTGTATTCACAAGTTTCTTTAAATGCTGCAGTTACACAATATTAACATATTAGGATTTGGTGACCCTGTATTGTATTCATAAATTTTCTTCTACAGATGTTATGTGTTTTGACTTAGAAACACAATTAATATTTTAAAAGTTCACAATTTCAATACTAAAATACACAATTTATAAGAACCAGGGTCCACCTTGTAAGATGGACCTTGGCCCATGGTATAACAACTCCATTAGGTTGATGTCAAAATTAAGCAAACTTATTAGTCAAACTACTAAATTGGGAATTAACTTCTTAAGAAAAGGAAATCAATTTTTGTTATTAATCTTTCTTTATAGATGGTTAATTTATGGACGCCATTAATCATTTTGAACTAATTGAATTTATTACGGTTAATGAAATGAAGTTGATACCAATTATTTTTTAATTGAAATTAGTACAAGATTTGATACATATAATACTACTAGTATTTTCTATGCGCGATGTAGAAAAACATATGCCTAATATTTATATTTTTTTTTTTATAAATAACTAACAAAAACCTTACTAATTAAAATCTAGGGAAAATGACACTTTTTCCCCCTAAGTTATATACTTATAGCACTTTTCCCCCCTCAATTATTTATGTAAGCACATTAGTCCCCTCAATTATTTTAAAAGTGATGGTTTTCCCCCCTAATATATTAAATTGACAGTTCTACCCTTAAAGTAAACATTTTATTTATTTTACTTCTCCAACAAATTATTGCGTATATGTACAGCGATTACCACGGTTCGGTTCGAACTGAACCAGACACTATAGCAATCGAATTAAAAGTTTCCAATTATGATTCAGATTTAGAACCCAATATTTGAATTTCAATTTATTAAATTTAAGAATAAAAAAAATTGGATCATGAACCGTGAACCGGCGGTTCCGGATCCAGTTCGCGATTTTAAACCGTCTTTATTTTAAAATTTTATTTTCTATTTTAAAATAGTTTAAATTCAACAATAAATGTATTTTATTTTTTCAGTTCGGAACATGAACCGGCCATTCCGGTTCGCGATTTTAATAAACTCTAAATATCGCGTTTTGATTATAAATTGTAATTGGAATATTTTGGTTTAGGGTTTAGGGTTTTGAACCAAATTATAGTAATAATTTGTTGGAGAATAAAAATAAATGAAATATTTATTTTAAGGGCAAATATGTCCATTTAACATTTCAAGGGGAAAAAGAGCCACTTAAATAATTCAGGGGGAAAAAGTGCTATAAGTATATAACTTAGGGGGAAAAAGTGCCATTTTCCCTAAAATCTATATGAAATCAAATTTATTTATTATATTAATCCAATATATAATGTCTAAAAATATTATTATCATTAAATAATATAAGAAAATATATGGTGGATGCATGCCCATGGTAACAATAATGGAAAAGATAACGGTAGGGGTATTTTTTACCAAACAATTATATAGTACAACTCTAAAAGCACAATATACAAAATGATTAGCACTAAAAACATGGACATAAACTAGGGATATAACTTTGATTGAGAGTTATGTTTTTAGATATTATAGAGTTTAATATTCATGACCCAATGTATACAATATGAGCATTTGAATATTTTGTAATAATTCATTTTATCCGCTTCAACGTTCCTACCATTAATAGAAAGAATTGTTTTTTTTTTTTTTAAGAAAAGTGTATATTATACATGATTTGGATTCAACCCGATATTACCAAACTTACTTTTGAGAAAATTATTTTTTTATAGAGAAAATTGATAAATATGTCATTGAACTCTATACAAAAAAAGTAATTAAGTCTGAACTTTAAAAAGTTACAATTAAATACATCAGCTTGTTATTTTTTTGTATTTAACCCTAACAATCGATTATCAACTGGTAATGAGAGAATATTTTAGGGTTCTAACCAGTAATCACCTTCTTCAAATCGAGAATAGAAGGTGACGCCAGTTGTTTTCTTCTTGAAGATGAAGAAGGTGACTGTCAGCCGCCTTCTTCCTAAAGAAGAAGTTGGTCGCCTTTTGTTTGCATAAGCGACAGGTAATCGTGTCGCCGGAAGCCTAAAATATTCTTATTGTTATTTTTTACCGGTTGATAATTGACTATTGAATTTAGGTGCACAAAAATAACAAGTACAATTAATGTATTAAATTGTAACTTTTTAAAGTTTAAGAAACTTTGTATAAAGATTAATGACATATTTGATAATATTTGCTTTTATATATATATATATATATATATATATATATATATATATATATATATATATATATATATATATATATTACATAATTCAAATAGTATTTACAAGCTTTCAAAATATATAAAATTGCAAATACTATTTATGTGACTCCATTTTTTTTTTATAAAAAAAAACTTTTGTATACCTTTTATATTTTAATAATGATAATAATAATAATAATAATAATAATAATAATAATAATAATAATAATAATAATAATAATAATAATAATAATAATAATATATTTTGAAAGTGAGTTGAAATTATAAATATGTAAAATTATAGTAGTAAATTGTAAATATATAATATGACAGTAAAACTTACTTTTAGTATAGAAAGCGAATTGAAAGGATATAGTTTGAGCTTCACCAATTTGGTATGGGAGTTAGAGTTGGCGTTGAACTCTTTGTGGACAAAGTGATATAATTTAGTGTGGGACTCAAAATTATGCAAACTTAATTTATTTTTGTCATGATTTTAGAGACGTATTTATAAGATCTAGAATATAGTTTGATGAATCTATGAGTTATAAATAAATAAATAGAAAAATGAGATTGAAGGGATAAAAATAACTTATCTCAAATTTTTTAGAGCATCCGCAATAGTAGTTTTTGAAAAGTTTTTGCATATTTTAAAGCATATGTGGATTAGAGAGAAATACGAAAAAGAGTGTCCACAGTGGATCTGCTTGGTTTTGCAGGAACAGTGAACCCCACCAAAAAAAGCAAAGAAGCTCCCTGGTGCGAGTGAGGCGCACCAGAAGTGCCCAACCGGACGCGTGCACTCCACACGTTAACGTTATTTCCTTTGCTACTTTTTTTTTTTTTTTAAAGAAAATACTATATGTACTCTCATTCTCCACTCTCATACTTAAAATATTGGTGTAGACACTTTTACGGTGACCCACATAAATAAAATAACCTATTAAACCCTATCACATCAAAGAGTAAGATTTGAAAAATACTAAAATTATTTTTTATCATTTTTTCCATTTCTTATCTCTTTCATGTTCTCTTTCCTAGTCATTTCTCAAAAACTATGCCTATGCCTTCACGGATGCCAAGATCCTTGGCCTCCACCCATCACTTCTAGGCCAATTATTTGTCTTATTAGACTAGCTCACACGTTTAGTCTAATCCTTTGACTGATCCCATCTCATCATTATTGTTGTAAAATAATGTTTTCATCTTTTTAAAATTGATCCCAATCATCTTTCACAATTTCTTATTGAAGAAATAATTAAAGATTATATAATAAATTTGTTTGAAGAAGTGGAGGAACTTTTTGACTAAGCAGAGGAAAAGCAGAAATAATGGGAGGGCCAAAAGGTTTAAATTATTATACACTTTATGGTTTACGTATACGACGACATATATATGTGCATGAATTAATGGAGTACGGTGTAAAGATTGACATTATGAATGCAAGGACAAAACCCCACTCTATCATTTTTATTATATGAGTTAATACCATAAATAGTCCTCTAATTATTAGGGTAGTATTCTTTTTAGTTCTCGACTTTCAATTCGATCAAAACACATATCTTGATTTTCATTTTTAATCACAAATAGTCATCCACAAATAGATTTTCTATTGGTTTAATATTTAATACTTTTAGATTTGATAATATTACCCTTACATTTAACACTCATTTGACAAAAATCATAACGGAAGATTATTTGTGGTAAAAAATGAAAGTCAATGTATGTGTTTTGGTCGAATTAAAAATTAAGAACTAAAAGAAGTACTACTCTAATAGTCAAATGACCATTTGTGGTATTGACTCTGATTATATTAATATAATTATTATTATGTTACTTTTATCTTTTGTCTTGTCTTTCCAAGTTTCAACCCATTCACATGCACACTTCATCCTTGCAGTAATTCAATAATAATTTTTCTTTGCCTGCACGCGTTTAGCTCACTAGTTCAATAAGCATTATTTGGAATAAGAGACCAATATTCGAACGTCGGCAGCGACAGTGTAGGAATTATGCCCAAAGTGAATATATGCATTGAGTCATCGTGATTTACATCATCCCAAATGCTCTATCCAGCCGGAGTGTGGGACCCTTGTGCGCACCGACAGTTGGCCTTGTCTACTAACCCATTGAGTCATCGTGATTTACATCCTCCCACATGCTCTGTCGGGTCGGAGTGTGGGGGGCCCTTAGGGTTGGGGTACGATTTACTTCTTTATTATTATTAAAAGTAATAATAATTTATAAATTAAAATATGATAATTTATAAAATACTGTATTATAATTACATATGTTACTATATTATAACATAATTAGATAAATGACAAGATATGTAAAAGACAATAAAGTGTTTGAAAGAGACAAGATAACCTTTGATTGTGTTGATTGCTCAAAGATTACAAGTTGTGTTTTCACACGATATAGGATGTTATAACAAGACAAGTATAAGGCAATTTATACAAAACTCTCAATCAATTGCCCCCGCGATTCGGTTGCCGCCCGTCCAGAATGGGCAATTAGAACCCTAGCTGACTGTGTCACATTAACTTTATCCACCCGACCTCGTGGGGGGTGACCCAACCCATCGGCATAAGGTCCAAGTTAACAAGCCGTAGTCCTTTTAGGAGAACCATGACTAATTAAATTTTAAAAGTTGAATGACCATGTGTGTTTAATTTGGACCATAAACGGTAACCATTTAAAATTCAAAAGATCATGAGTAATCAATTTAAAAATTTATGATTAAACGAGATAAAATTACTATACTAGGACTCTAGAGTACCTCTTAAACATTTCATATATACATATCTTTAATCCAAGGTACTAAAATGTTAAACATGTAATTAAATAAATATTGTAAGGTTTTCAAAAAAATAAATAAATATTGTACATTATTATCCACCCGAAAATCTTATCTTTTACTTTCATTGATATCAAAATATTTTATTTTTAATTGACCCAATCTTTGACACCAACCAAATATGAAAATAATATTTCCTACATTTCATTAAATTCCTAAGAATGTTGAAAGTCTAGTGAGCCCCAACCCAAAATGCGTCACACAATCAATATTTTGCAAAATTCCTTTTATTCTTCAAATAATTTATTTACTGCCCATTATATAAAGTTTCATTAAATATGACAGCACACATTTTGAGAATCAGAAAATATGGCTAAAGCATAGCCACACAATTTGAGAGATGTGCAGTGGAAATCTGCCGTTAATTTCCTAAAGGGTTAAAAGGTCATAATGGAAAAGCTAGAAAAACCGGAGACCACGAAATGCGAATCTTCACCGTATTTACTGAATTACGTGGCACGTGGGCCCCGCCAGTACGTCGAACTTGCCCAAGGGCAGAAGGATTGGAATGTCATAATAAATCAAGAACGGGGGCAAAACCGTCACAGTACTACTATAAATATGGAGGTTCTCTCCTCGCCGCAACGCTCATAACAATCCCTTCTTTCTTGGTATCTCCCCTGAAATCTCTCGTTCTCTCGAAGAAATCTGCAAACCCATTACGGAATTGCGTGTTAATTCTTTGTAGAGAAAAGAGTTCTATGTAAGTGGTGTTTCCCGATAGCTTCAAATCTTGTTTCTACCCATATATGATATATGCCCGTGTTTTGTGGTTTAGATTTCTATTTGTTTTGGTTTAAATTTTGATTTTGCTGTTTGAATTATCGTAGATTGATCTGGGCGCGGTTCCGATAGCCTTGGGGAGTCACTGGGTTCATAAAAATCCCAACTTTGATATTGTAAGTACGAATTTTCGTGGATGTGTTAATCGATTTGTTTTGTCGTGAACGTTGCGGATTTATATTACGTTTTATGATTTGAGAATTTTGGTTTTGTTAGACTCTTCTAGGTTTCGTGTGATAATTCATATTTTGCATGTTTAAATCTGCAATCTTATGCTCTGCTTTTAATCTTGCATTGTAAACCCTGTAGATCTTTATTTGTTGCCACCCTTGGTATAGATCTTTGGTTTTCCCCAATTTTTGTTGAGTTATTGTTTTCCCCAATAATGTATTTGATAATTAGCAGTTCTTTGCGGTATGATTATGACCCAGAGTCCTCAGTCACATACTAAATTTATAAATCGATGGATTCATATGTGTTTTGGTTATAATTAGATGTTTGATGTCTCTGCTGGGTTGAAGAGAGTCTGATGATTTATTTTTCATGTTTTTTGATAATCTTGTTGCTTTGTTAATTATATCTAGCTCTGTTTGATTAATTGATTTGGGCCATTGTTGAACAGATTAGACTGAATGATCTAATGGAGTCTAAAGGTGGTAAGAAATCCAGTAGTAAATCGTCCTTATTCTACGAAGCTCCCCTCGGTTACAGCATTGAAGACATTCGACCAAACGGAGGAATCAAGAAGTTCAGATCTGCTGCTTACTCTAACGTGAGTTCTTTGCTGTGGATTACATTGTTCTTTCAATGTTTTTCTATGTTTTCTTTTTTTGTGTGTTTTGACATTGTTGTTTGTTTTGCTTGTTTGTTTTGCAGTGCGCCCGCAAACCATCCTGATATTCCTTAATTGTTCTTATTCTTATCACGTCTCATCAAGACGTGTGCTGCCTTTAGGATTTTCTTTTCTCGCATTGTTGTTAACCCTCGCACTCCTTTTCTTCTTTGTTTTGCTGCTTTTGTCCCCCTAAATAATTGTTTTCGGTCTATTTCGCGTTATGGAAATGGCGTTGTCTGTGTCTGTGTCTCCCATTGGATTCGAAGGGTATGAGAAGAGGCTCGAGATTGTGTTTTCTGAACCCGGAATCTTTGCTGATCCTAATGGAAAGGGCCTTCGATTGCTTTCGAGAGCTCAATTGGACGAGTTTCTTGGCCCTGCTGAATGTACGATAGTTTCTTCGTTGTCGAATGAGTTTGTGGACTCTTATGTCCTCTCGGAGTCGAGCCTCTTTGTTTATGCTTACAAGATCATTATTAAGACTTGTGGAACCACGAAATTGCTTCGAGCTATCCCGCCTATTCTGAAGTTGGCGGAGACCCTTTCTCTTTCGGTGGAGTCTGTGAGGTACACCCGTGGGAGCTTCATTTTCCCTGGGGCTCAGTTGTATCCTCATCGTAGCTTCTCCGAAGAAGTTGCTGTCCTCGATGGGTATTTTGGTAATCTTGGCTCGGGGAGCAAGGCGATTGTCTTGGGCAAGTCTGATGGCCCGCAAAAGTGGCATGTTTACACTGCTTCGGCTGTTGCAATGCCAGGAATGGACCCTGTTTACACGGTCGAAATGTGCATGACGGGTTTGGATCACGAGAAGGCTCGTGTGTTTTACAAGGACGAATCGAGTTCTGCTGCTGTCATGACGGTTAACTCCGGGATTAGGAAGATCCTCCCCGAGTCTGACATCTGCGATTATGACTTTGAACCGTGTGGGTACTCCATGAATTCTATCGAAGGAGGTGCGCTCTCGACCATTCACGTGACACCGGAAGACGGGTTTAGTTACGCGAGCTTTGAAGCCGTTGGATATGATCTTGAAGCGGTGAAACTATCGGCCCTGATTGAGAGGGCGTTGGGGTGTTTTGAACCGAGCGAGTTTTCTGTTGCGGTTCATGCTGATGTTGCTGGTAAGCTGCTCGACCAGAATTGCTGTCTCGACGTTAAAGGGTATTGTCTCGATGAGAGAAGCACCGAGGAGTTTGGAACTGGCTGTGGTTCCGTTATTTACCAGAAGTTTGTTAGGGATGCTTATGCTTGTGGCTCACCAAAGTCTGTTCTTCAAAGCTCCTGGAAACAGGAGGATAAAGAAGAGAAGTAGTAGTGTTGAGGGTTGTTTTTTTGTTTTTTTTTCCTTTTTTGTTTTTATGTTTCGTAAAAATTCGTGTTTGTTCGTCGCTGTTGCATTAATGTTCTTGTGTTTCCGCTGAATAATGTTTGTTGTGTGCAGTCCAATTAGTTGGGTTGTGGACAATGAAACAATTTGTGTTTTGTTGTACTGTTTGAGCTTTCTTATGGAGGCTTGAATGTTATGAACATTTGTTGTGTCTTTTACTATTTTGTCTCTGCAATATTTTCTTGGTATGAAATATTTATACTACTTTTACTAGCTAAGGGGTGGACAATTTGGTTTCTCGAATCAAACTAGTTTGGTTTGGTAATATACCAAATGATAATGGGTTATTGTATATCGGATTGAATACTGATTAAATTTTTCTTTTTATAATAATAATAAAGGCGTAACCCAAATCTATAATTTTAAAATTTCTAATCACAAACGAAGTCATTCGCTTGGGCAATCTTGCCTAATCTGCAAGTCTACAATTGAACAAGTCTCACATGCTACCCTCCTCGCTTAAGTTTATATACTTGCATATGTATATGAGTCTTTCCCTAAGTTAAAGTTAGGCATTCAACATAATTCATGCATTCAATAAAATTTGAACTTAATTTTTTTTTTTTTTTGTATGTATATGAAATGTGACTTTATGACGCTCGAAGTGAAAATATTACATATGGGAGTGAAACACTATTGTTCATGGTTATGGTCATGTGTTATTCATTTGTGTGATTTCTTTTTCCTTTCTATTTCAGTTATTTTTGATTTTGCTGGTTGATTTAGATTTGAACAATAAAGTTTGCTAGACTATATAAGTAACTTATAAAAGTACTTTGACTTGGTCCATCTGTATTCCAAAGTTTTTTTTTTTTTTTTTTTAAAAAGATATTATAATCTCATTAAATTTGATTGTAGATGTAGATGCCGAACGGGTTTTTTAATGCTAAATTATTAATATGAATAAATAAATAATTAATTATTTAAGCTAGAGCACTATGAAATGTTGGGAATTGAAATTCCTAAACTAAATTGACAATATATATATATATTTTTTTCCAAAACCAAATCAAATTAAATTGAATGGACCAAGTCATAGTGGTTGCCTTCCTCTGGAAGGCCATACGGCGGAAGGCCACCAGAAGTCGCCTTTCAGGGAAGGCAACCAGAAGGGGAAGGCATAGTTCTGGTGGTCTTCCCCGAAGAAGGCGACCTTAGCCGTATGTGGCGACCGACGACAGCTTGGCTGTCGTTGAATTTTTTGTCGGAATTTAAATGATCTATAATCACATGTCATTTATCGGTTTATGGGTTTCATTGACTCAATTTGACATGTTTAATAGTTTGATTGTACATTTTTTAAATTTAGGTGCCTAATTGATTTTTGGTGTAAATTTTAGGACCTATTTGACCATTTTTCATAATTTTAATTATATATTTATTATTTAATAAATTTTTAAAAAGGCATATACTACGGAGTATAATTTTGTGTTGATAATAATAATAGAAGATAAGACTTCAGAATTACGGAGTAGTAAATACAGCTAATTCCGTCGTCTTCCCAGAAACCTCAGAAAGAAAGGGGAAATCAACAAACCCTAACCAGAAATATTGACACGAACCTGAAATACTTCATATCATTTTTCTCTGTAAGTGCTCACCCATAGCTTCAATTCTTCTTATTTTTTTAAATGCTTGTGTTTGTCGTGCAAATTTCTAATTTTCTTTTTCTGATTTCGCTTTTTGAATGATCTAGATTGATATGAGCTCGGTTCAGATAGCCTAGGGGTCTCTGGTTTCATAAAAATTCCAACTTTGATGTTTTAAGTACAATTCCCGTCTCGACATATTTGTCGATTTGTTTTGTAGTGAATTTTGCTTATTAATATTCTATTTGGTGTCTAGAAATGTTTCTAGGTTTCGTAGGTTAATTTGCATGTAAAATTCTACAACCTTGTGCTCGACTTTATAATCTTGCATTGGTTCCTTTACAGATCTTTATTCATTGGTACCTTGATATCGATGTTTACTTTTTCCCATTTTTGCTGAGTCTGTTTTAGTCTGGGACTGGAGAATTAAACCTCTGTTATGTTGTTTAAACATGTTATATGTTTCCTTATTGTAGGTATTCATGTTATGATTTAGATTTTCACTTGAAGTTCTATAGGATATGTTTATGACTCTAATAACTAAAGTTTATAAATAACAATTGATGGAAGCATTTTCATATTGTATTATTTGGTTGTTTGAAGTTCTGTTGTATTGATGAGACCACAATGCTTTATGCTTCATCTCCTTTTATTCCTGTTACTCTCTGCTGTGTTTGGATGGCCTTAATGTTTTATTAATATCTAATCATGTCTGACTAGTTTGGTTGAGTGTTGTACAAGTAGGATTGAATGTTTTATTTTTCTCTGTAAATCTTTACCCGTAGCTGCAAATCTTATTCTGCCAATCTGCCTATCTATGCTTGTGTGTCATGTGTAAAGTTCAATTTTTTTTTTTTTTTTTTTTCCTGATTTTTCTGTTTGAATTATCTAGATTATCCCAGTGCGGTTCTGATATCCTTGGTGGGTGGTTGGTTTCATAACAATTGAAATGCTTACCTGACACCCAAGACAGAATTCTTCAACCCCTAGCCCTAACACTCGCTGGAAATTCTTCAATCAAATTCTCTTATCATCAGACTCTGAATTTCAACATTCTTCAAGATGGTGTTGGCACAGTTAGGAGGGAGCATTTCGCGTGCTCTCCAGCAGATGAGCAATGCGACAATCATTGACGAGAAGGTTCTCAATGAATGCCTCAACGAGATCACTCGCGCTCTTCTCCAGTCTGATGTTCAGTTCAAGCTAGTCCGTGATATGCAGACCAATATCAAGCGGATTGTCAACCTTGATGACCTAGCTGCTGGACACAACAAGCGTAAGATCATCCAACAGGTTTGTTAGTTCTTCACTTTTTGTAAAGTTTGAATTTAATTTGTTGGTTTTTGGCTGAATCCGTGATAATATTAGCTGCTGTGGTATTCAATTATTTTACCTTGAATATTGAATTTGGAATTGTTTAAATGTGAGAACTTTAGGACTTAGGAGTGAATTTAACACCGTACATTTCCTGGTTCATTTGAAAATTTGTGGATCTTATTTTAAAAAAATAAAGGAGAAAAGATTTAGTAATAGAAAAGGTAAAGGTTTTCTTTGTCAGTAGGTTGTGATGTATTTTTGGTTTTGTTTGGTGTAATTATGAATGCCGTGGTCCTGATGGCACTAGCTAGCATGTATAGTTTATTCAAAGCAACTTGCTAATTCCATTGTTCAACACCTCAATGAAAAGCAAGTTCTTGTAATGCAATGCATGGATATTATGAAACAAAGAAAGGAGAATATGAAAGCGAGAGGTGATGAAGATACCGGGAGATTGTGTAAAGTATAACAGAGAGTTCTTGGCTTCAAATGCTTATATGATGTGGTAGTCAGTCCCAGACACCTTGACTCCCAGTTGGAACTGTTAACTGTCAAGTGAACAACCTAAAAAATTCATTATCAATGAAAAAATGGCTGGAGGCAGAAGTTTTTAAAGTATATTCCTCTTGAACATATGCCTGACTAACTAATAAGAATGTGATAAATGCATATTTCAGCTTTATTTGTAGTTTTGAGTGCAACCAACATGGCTAGATGTATAATATCAAGAAAACTGACTGTTTTCCTGTTTCTATAGTACATTGCAAGCCTTGAAGAACCAATGTCCCTGATAATTACTTCTTGATGAAGGTTTAATTGTCAGTTTTTGTTTGCATGATCTACAGTGACACTATTTATTAATTGCTTTAGGCTGTATTTAACGAGCTTTGCAAGATTTTGGATCCTGGAAAACCATCATTCACACCAAAGAAAGGGAAGCCTAGTGTTGTCATGTTTGTAGGGTTGCAAGGCAAGTAATCTCTTTTATTTTTGGACTAACAGTCTTTCTATTTTGCAAGAGAAGTAATATCTGGAATTTTTATTTATTTATTATTATATTTTCACTTTTATGAGCTAGGATGAGCATAAGATAATTCTGCCATATCATTTTGCTTAATGTTGAGTTTTTCAAATTAATAGTCTCATTATTTCCCACTTTCCTTCTCCCTCTTATTTTGGATTTTATTGTGTCACAGGTTCCGGGAAAACAACAACTTGTACAAAATATGCCTACTACCACCAGAGGAAGGGCTGGAAACCAGCTCTAGTTTGTGCAGATACATTCAGAGCTGGTGCTTTTGATCAACTGAAACAGAATGCAACCAAAGCTAAAATACCTTTCTATGGGAGGTATAAATTTTGTAAATCGAACTATTATTATCTATTTTCCAAAGTTATGTTTTTTATTTCATGAAAACTCTAGAAGATCAAAGGAGCTGTTCCATTGAAGATTTGAAGTGATTCTTCAATCTAAACCATGGGGCATATGCTCTACTCTTAATCTAGTTGAATGTTAACTTTTCTTAATGTCAAAAGGCACTGGTCAAGATGTTATGGCGAAGATATGTTTTATCATCTTAAAGCTTATTTGTCTAAAATCAAAATAAAAAATTTCCAGTTATGTCAACGTTCTTCTTCATGGGTTTGCCAAATAAGAGGATTAAGTGTAACAAAGACTGCATATTTTTCTGGCAACCATCTAGTACAGAATCTGGGTGCTCTTTGCTATACACCACAGACTATCTATATAAGTATTGTATATCAGTCTTTTTCCTGGAAAAGAATTGGTTTCTTACCATCACTACCGTTTGGCATCTAATGTACATGATATATTTCTGCAACAGCTACACAGAGTCTGATCCTGTGAAAATAGCAGTGGAAGGTGTTGAAAGATTCAAGAAGGAAAATTGTGATCTCATTATTGTTGACACCAGTGGACGCCACAAACAAGAAGCTGCCCTCTTTGAAGAGATGCGTCAAGTCTCTGAAGCTACGGTATGTGCTTGTATGCTTAGCATGTAATTAATTTTTCATTTTTGTAAACAGCATTTAATTACTATATTACCATAGTCTTATCTTTTTGCTGGGTTTTCTAGAAACCAGATCTTGTGATATTTGTTATGGATAGTAGTATTGGTCAAGCCGCTTTCGATCAAGCTCAAGCATTCAAGCAAAGTGTTGCAGTTGGGGCTGTAATAGTTACTAAAATGGATGGCCATGCAAAGGGTGGTGGTGCTCTTAGTGCGTAAGTCTCATAAGCATTAAAACCACAATATAGCATTTATTTTGGATTAATATTTTTTATTTGACAATTGTTGTGATTGATGGATGGCTATATGAAAATTTAATTTGTTCACGTGCAGAGTTGCCGCTACAAAAAGTCCTGTCATCTTCATTGGTACTGGAGAACACATGGACGAGTTTGAAGTTTTTGATGTTAAACCGTTTGTCAGCCGACTTCTAGGTCTGTGCCCCCTTAGCAAGAACTTGGGAAATTTCTTGTCTTTGACTGCCTTTTGGCTTTATACGTGTCCTATCTTCTTCAGGCATGGGTGATTGGTCTGGGTTCATGGACAAGATACATGAGGTTGTTCCTATGGATCAACAGCCTGAGCTTCTTCAAAAACTCTCCGAGGGAAATTTTACCTTGAGGATTATGTATGAACAATTCCAAAATATACTTAAAATGGGTCCCATTGGGCAGGTTTGCCACTTACCTCTTATATATTTATTTATGTTTAAACGCTCATTGTGAATTATTTGTGTGGTTGGGCATTAGTTCTGGGGTTATTCTCTTCGTGCTCAACTTTTTGTTCTTGCTACTTATAGTCATTTCCACATGTACATCCACATTTTACTTTACAATGAATCAATAAACAACTTGAGCAGTTTTCCTTACTGGTGTGAACCTTTATTTTAGTTGTTTGTTTGTTTTTTTGTTAGACCACGAGGTGGCCTGTGTAGGCTCTAACTATAGGAAGCACCTTTAAGCCCGTATCATACTTAGACTAATCCCTGTTCGCACCGGCCCGTCCCAATTAAGGGGCAAAGTGCTGGCTATAATGATTTATCCATACGAGAGGGGGTTTTGAACTCCCGACCTCTCTTAAGGGGTGAGGGTGCACGGCCACTCACGCCAATCAAGCTGGTTTTTTTTTGTCAGACCACGAGGTGTCCTGAGCAGGCCCTAACGGTAGGAGGCACCTTTAAGCCCGTACCATACTCAGACTAATCCCCGTTCGCACCGGGCCGGCCCAATTAAGGGGCAAAGTGCTGGCCAGATTGATTTTTCCATACGAGAGGGGGTTCGAACTCCCGACCTCAGTTAAGGGACGAGAGTGCACGGCCACTCACGCCAACCAAACTAGTTTAACCTTTCTTTTTGTTGTTCAGGTCTTCTCTATGCTTCCGGGATTTAGTCAAGAACTAATGCCAAAAGGGCGTGAGAAGGAAAGCCAGACAAAAATTAAACGTTATATGACAATGATGGATTCGATGACGAATGAAGGCAAGTGGGCTACAGTAACACACTGATGTTTAGTTTGGTTCTCGAATATCTAGTCATCGTCTATTATTCTGATTTCATTTCACGCATATTTCGCAGAATTGGACAGCACAAACCCGAAGCTTATGACTGAATCGCGCATCATGAGGATAGCAAGGGGATCTGGTCGTTTGGTGCATGAAGTGATGGAAATGATGGAAGAGTACAAGCGATTGGCCAAGATATGGAGCAAGATGAAGGGACTTAAAATCCCAAAGAAGGGAGATATGAGTGCCTTGTCCCGAAACATGAATGCACAGCACATGAGCAAAGTTCTTCCCCCGCAGATGTTGAAACAGATAGGCGGCATGGGTGGCTTGCAAAACTTGATGAAACAAATGGGTTCTGCCAAGGATATGATGGGCATGTTTGGTGGTGGGGATAAGTAATCTCTCTCTCTCTCCCTCTCACACACACATACTAAAGCTGATTCCAGGTTAGAAGATGAACACCCTCTAGCCTCGAAGCTTGTCTGTCAATCATAGCTGTATTTCAGGTTGTCAGTTTCGAATTCTTGAAAGCGGGATGGTTCGTTTTTGTTTTTAGATGACAAGGAGTATAATTTCTTTCGTATTTTCGCTCGATCCCCCTTGATAGAGTTGTTATTTCTTTAATTTTCTTAGTAAACTAGAACTTGGTTTTGTGCCATGTGAATGTATGTACTATGTTGAGAATGGAAGAATGGTTTTCTGCCATTTTCTCACTTACCAATTAGTAGCTGCTGTTTCCTGACAGAACAATTTGCAGCCTCTGGTTTTCTACTCTTTTTTTTTTTTTTGGGTATAAAAAATGGTATTAACTCTGATCATAATAAATATTGTATACTACCTTTTATCAAAATTAACTTATAAACGGCAAAATTTTAGGTGAACTATGGTCCACATAGTTGTGTGGATCAGGAATATAAGATATATTTTAATATATTAAAAGTACATTATTTTTGCACTGAATGTACATTTGATAATATACAATATAAATAAATAATGTACTTTCAATACTTAAATAATGCACTTTTAGTATATAAAAAATAATTGTGTAGGTTTGTACGGACTTAACTCACTGGTTCATTAGATAGTATTTGAGAGAAGAGATCAATGTTTGAACCTCAGCAGCGGCAGTGTGAGGATCACCGTGTGAGGGTCCCTTGAGGGCACCGTGTGGGTGAGGGTCCCTTGAGGGCACCGCGTGAGGGTCCCTTGAGATTAGAATTAAACCTTTTGGGAGAAGAAAATAATGACAAATTATTGTGTGGACCATGGCTCACACAATGTTATGTGGATCATAACAAAAAGTACATTTTTTATAAACTAAATGTACATTATTTTTGTATTGAATGTACATTATATAGTATAATGTACACTCAGAACAAAAATAATGTACATCCCCTAAATACAATATACATTACTTTTGTACTGAATGTACATTATTTTTGTACTAAATGTACATTATTTTACAGTAAACAAAATATGGGCTACACAACTTGTGTGGACCATAATCCACACAATAATGATTAGAAAATAATTATGTGGACCATGGTCTATAAAAATAATGATTGAAGATTAACATTGCAAGTAATATGGGCCATTTAGATTAGAGTGGAGTATAACAAAATGCAACTATTCAAAATAGTAAATTTCTCAATTTAAGTTTAGAGTGTCAAACATTGAGTTCATAAAGGTTTTTAGAAAAAAATTGAGTTCATAAAAGTTTTAAAGTAGCCGGAAATTAATTCTCGAAGTGTTATCCATTAAGTTGGAAAAATAAAAGTTTTGGAAAGTTTTAAAATATCATTGGTCCACATTGGAAAGGGATTAGTATAAATACAATTTACTAATTTTTTTACGAGTTTAAATTACTTAACATAGAGACTTTCTTTCACGTGAGCAAGAAGTGGAGGGGGGGGGGGGGGGGTGTGTGCAAAATGAGCTCAAAAAACTTGAACTTGTATGTACGACAACCTAACCTAAGCAATAGGTCGTTCCCACTAGTAAGACTCAAACTTGTAACTTTATGGTAATTAACAAGTTATCAACTTGACCAACTTAACTAGAAAATAATTACATAGACTTCAACATTATATTGTGATAAACTTCAACACAATGTACATGTATCATATATGGTCAATTTTTTATTTTTTATTTTTTATTTTTAAAAAACCACGAGGTGTCTTGAGTATGCCTTAAATATATGAGACACTTTTAAATTCCCGTTTGCACCAGACCGGCCTAATTAAGAGTCACATCAGTTTTAAGATAATATAACAATAGCAAGTAATTATAACATGAACCAAACAAAGTAATACTCGGTCCGTAAACATTAATTAGCAAACTTACATTACCTAGATAATCTAAGATTACTCGAACGAATGCGAGGATAAAGAAATAGAAGGATAAGATAAACCGAAATAATTTTTATTCCTGAATAATGTCTAAACTAGTAGAATAGGAGATTAAAACTAAACTTTCTAATACTAACGAATATCTATAATAATTCCAAACAACTAATTAATTAAATAACATATTGAAATCAATTATTTTTTCTAACTTTTTGACTTCTTCAATCTCTTTCTCCACCTGCTCAAGCTTTGTACGCAGTTCTTCAACCTTTCTCGCGGGCACCGGGTCTTGCCTTGAGCTGCTGCCGGCTGTCACCCGACTTTCATAAAATTCGATCATGAATTCGATGCTTTTCTTGTTGTACTCAAGACCATCTAATATTATCTCTTTCTTTTCTTTCTTCCAATTCTCATTATTATTGTCCATCTTTAATTTGATAGAATGCTATCAAAAATCAAAAGATTACAGAGATTTATGGTGCCTTAAGTCCTTTACAAGTATCTTATATTTATACTATATTATGGTGTACAGTTTTAGTAATTAATAAGTAAAATTTAATGCATATAGAAATTTTCCTAATCCTATTATTGGAAGATGCTAAAACTTAGGCTTTTACAATTAAGTATCTTATATTTATATAATATTTCATTATGGTGCATGGTTTTAGTAAATAAGACCAGGGAACTTTATTAAGTATTAGCAATGCTTTATATTAATCAGCAATAATAATCCTATAAGACAGAGTTCTTAATTTTTTAAGAAACCTTTATTTTTTTTTACTAATTACATACTACCACTAATAGTTTCCTTTTAAAATTTAAGTGTTTCTATATATAGGGTCTGGTTCTCATGCGAATAAATCTTTCCGTGCGGACGTGTAGTCATTCACCATTTGGTATTTAAGAATACACCACAACGTCTTCAGAAATACACCAGCGCGTGTTACATTTTTGTGGTGCATTTGTGCATTTCACCCTAATGCAATCTTGATGCATTTATGCATACTTAATGGAACAATTTGTACGGCCGAAAGGGCCTCTCCGCATTTGATTCAGTATCTAAGAGAATAATTAGTCATTCTAATATAATATTCACATTAATTTAGGAAGTATGGTACTATATATAAGGTATTCTATGTATCGCTAAAGACATCTAGAAATCAATTGAAGAGTTCTTCGTTTTCTTTCGTTATTTTGTTTGTTTCTTTTAAAGTTATCGTAACTAAAATACGGATTAGAGCTAGAGGCATACTTGAAAGGTTTCTTCCATTGCACACTAAATTTCAGTATGTAATATTGGTGTTTTTATTGAGAGAATCCGTGTAAGCATCTCCTATAAAATTTATTCTTTTTTTCCACATTAAAAAAAAAAAAAACAAACTACAAACTCTTTCGTTGCGTATTCATAATTTCCCCCCATAACTATCATTTTCTCTTCATATTAAAATGATTGAAATTAACTTAATTGATATGTTCACATACTACCATGACAAATCTGTTAATAACAAAGCTCTCAGTTTTAGTCCACCATCAAACTATTCACACCAATAATTTGAATCTCCTTATCAACCTGTCAACCAATAATTTGAATCTCCTTATCAACCTGTCAATAAGAAAGGGCATCAAAATCTATGGAAATAAATAATTTGATGAGAAATGAGCATTTTTCTTGTCCATAATAGAAGGGAAGATATAACAGTATAGACATTGGAAAAGGCCATTGACGTCGAATTTTTTTTAGACGGTCAGGGCCGTTTAGAACGAGGGCAGCGGCTAGGACAGTCGGACAGGCACGACTGTTTGTGACAGCCACCGGCTCTCCGGTGCGGACAGCCGATGGCTGATTTATTTTGTTATATATATATATATATATATATATATATATATATATATATATATATATATATATATATATAAAACTTATATGCAAAAGGGGGAAAATGATATTGGTGTGATATTTTCAGTATAGGATTAAAATTGGAATAAAATATATTGGCAAAAAAAAAAAAAGTTGAATAGGGGTCCTTAGCTCAGTGGTAGAGCATTTAACTGCAGATCAAGAGGTCAACGGTAAAACCCTTTTCCACGTTTTGAAAAACTTTATCCTACCATTTGACTGCAGATCAAGAGGTCACCAGTAAGGCCCTTTTCCACATTTTGAAAAATTTTATCCCAATGAGTTTTAGAATGTTTTTTAATCTCCTTTTGAACTCTTATCCCAAATAAGTTCTTAGAATGTTATTTAATCTCCGAATTCACTAAATTTATCATTTTTGAGTAACTAGGTCATTGAACTGAAACTTTTTTTTTTTTTTTTAAATTTCTTTTAATGAAATTTAGGTTAAAAATAAACTAGTATGGCAGAGGAATGCAATGACTGCAACAGCTGCCGCCACAGTCCGAGGCAGCAGCAGTAGCCGCCGTACCCGTAGCAGCAGTAGCCGCCTCCACATACATTTTTTTAAAATTTCTTTTAATGCAATTTGGGTTAAAAATAAACTAGAATGACAGAAGAAATGACAACTCTTAGTACATATTAGGTATGCAATATGATCAAATTTTGACCAAAAAAATTGAAAAATGTATCATTTTCATATATTTTGCTTGTTTGATTGTTCGATTGCACACTTTCTAAATTTAATGACTCAATTATACAAAAACAAACAAGAAGTTCAATGATCTACTTGATACTTTTTTCCTATATTTAAATTATGGAAACTTTTGATCCGTTTAACTTGTTGATCTTCCATTGCTTGTTTATTATTGTGCGAATGAAGTTTAATTTGGCTAATTTTTGTAAATACTATGTATAATTAAGCAAATTATATCGTGCACTAGGGGTGCACAATGCATTGTGCATCCTAAGAGTTATATATTATGTTAAAAGTTTATGTGTATTATGTTAAGAGTTTATGTATATTATGTATTATGTTAAGAGTTTTGTATATTATGTTAGAAGTTTATGTGTATTCTACTATATAATTGTGTGCATACGAATTGAAACATGAAATTTTTAGGGTGCACAATACATTGTGTGCTCTATTGCACGATATAACGATTAGTATGATTACATGAAATAATATGCATCAACAACACCATTTATTAGTCATAAATTTGTTGGAAAGTTTAACTAAAAGTGAAATTTCGAGATATAATTTTAGTGGGGACGACGCAAATGACCTTGTGGTCTGTGGCATTAGTGACTCTCCCAAATGAAAGGTCATGGGTCGAATTTTAGTGGGGGCAGTTTTGACTCATTACGCTTCACAATATGTTGAGAAAGTAGTTATGAACAGATACTATATTGTAACAGAATTAGTAGCACTTAAAAAAAAAAAAACTAGTTGACACTTTAGATTAGGGTTGGGTCAAAGTAAATTCATATTATTTTAGTTGA